AACCTGTGAAGGATCCCTGTAGCCGTGTCATTGTTATAGTACTGCTGTTAAGAAGGCCACGGTACTGTAACAGTACGTACGTATGTACGTATATACGTACCTGAGATTCTTAGCCAATAGCCATTTTTATTATATCCCTTTACTACTTATTACTGTATTACTATACTAAGTGGCTCAAAAGTATTTATTAAGGATAATCGAAAAAAATATTGAGAAACTTTTAATTGTTCATTTATTTAACATTTTAAAACTATTTAGTTATTAGTTTACGATGTATGTATGAATATTTGCGATCAGGCTACTGATCATTCGATTTACTATACGTTTCTTCGCCGGCTTACTAGTTCAAGATTGACAATTAGCCAAATTAAAGCCTTCTATGCTTTTTTGGCATGAGATCGTATCAGTTAAGTTGTTAAAAGAAGCGAAATAGGTTTTTTTTTCCTTTTTTTCCTTTTTTTTCCTTTTTTTTTTTTTTTTTTTTTTTTTTTTGAATAAAGGTTAAGAATCGGCAGATCCGAAAAAAGCCTCAAGTTCTAATTGATTAAAGGACGAATTTCAGAATTTTCTTACTGCTTTCTGCAGCTTTGATAAAGCCCCATCATGTTCTGTTCGGGCTATGTCACCAAAATCCTGCTGAAAAAGATATTGTTCAAGCAATCTTATGGCGTTTAGTGCTTTATTGTGAATAATCTGGCGTATTTCTACGCTATTATCATCCTCCTCATTCTTATCACTTTCATTTACCTCAGGTTCCACATTAGTGACTAGGTCTACAATTTCTTGATCGTTCAATACTTTATTTGTGTCATTTTTATCTGAATAGTTGATATAATTATTGAGATCCATTATATTTCGAAGGTGAAGTGCTTCAATATCTGCTTGCAATTCTTCTATTAATTCATTTTCATTATCATCAGTGACAAGTTCTTCATAATCGTCAGTAACAAATTCCTCATTATCCTGTATAACCGGAAGAATTCTAGTATGTTGAAAGCAATTACGCACCGTTTCTGATGATACTTCTCTCCATGCACGAACAATATATTTTATAGCAGTAAGAACATCCATCTTATTATCTTTTCCAGATTCATACTAATCAAGCAACCATTTTATAAAATAATTACGATAGCGATGCTTGAAAGATATAATAATACCGGCATCCATAGGTTGAAGGCGAGATGTTGTATAGGGAGGAAGGGTGTGGACGGTTGTATTATGGATATTTAGATTGCTATAGGAATGTACTGATACACCATCTACAAGAAGAATTACCTTACGACCAGCCATCTTTAAGTCAAATTCCTTAAGCCACTTTTAAAATAATACTGTTGTCATCCATGCTTTGATACTAGCTCTATACGTGACGCCAAGCTTGTTTCGATTTACACCTTTAAAGCAGCGTGGGTTGGGAGATTTACCAATAACGAATGGCTTCATTTTATCTGTTCCATCTGCATTGGCACAAAATGCCAGGGTTAATCATTCCTTATCTTTCTTTTTACCTTTAAGGTGAACAGTTGCGAGTGTGGTATCTGGTTTAAGGCTAAAAAAAAGGGGGCAAAAAAAAAAAAAGTTAAAAAGATAAGACCATAAGGCCTATACATGTTGGCAAAATTCCAAACTATTATAGTTTGGGTTTGGGCGCGCCCAATTCCTAAACTCTGGCCAACTCATATCTAAAAAACTTTATTAATAATTTTTATTTAAACAAATCAGATACATATTTATAGCTATATATAATATATTTTCCAAATTTTAAGATTGCTTTTTTGATTCAATTTTTTATAAATAGCAATTGTATTTTTGGGGTTTAGGATTTGTCCGGGTTTTGCTAACAAGTATAATAAGGCCATGCAAAACTAATCAATAGGATTGAGCCAACAAAAAATGACAAGGAAAAAGATGACATAAAAGAGAAGAAGTCATTAAAGAAGATATTGATAAGACAGATGAAGACAATATAAAGGAAGTGAAGAATGGTGAAGAAGAAAGCACGGCTGACGATAAGCCGCAATCACAAGATGGTAAAAACCCGGCGGGTTTATATTTTGAAAAAAATTTTTTATATGCTTTAATAATCAGGTGTTTTAAAAAATTTTTTAAAAAAAAAAATTGG